GTCCCAGTCTGAACTCTTCACTTCCCATACCTCCTACCACCCCAAACATACAAATGAAAGACAAAATTAACAGAATCTCTATGATTCACATGAAAAACGGTGATCGTAAATCTTATTTCCATAATTTTGGTCCCAAAAAGCATCCACAAAAGCAGCTTAACTTAACTTAACTTAAACGGGGCATCCAAATCTTTACTACAAAATAGAAAGCAGAAATAGAAAAATATTTTGAAATAATATCTTAACCTAAGAACTGTCAGGACTCAACCTGAGGGTCTAAACTAAAAAGACCAGTTATAGGAAAACAGTTACTGTTCAAAGACAACACAACCAGAAAACAAGTATCAGAATTTAGTAAGAGACATCTTTCAGCCAACCTGCCCCTAACGTGGTCAGCAGCCAAGAAGACCACACACGCCACAGTCCATTCTGGATTCACTATGGTCAGTCATTCCATCCCAAGACAAGCGCCCTACATAGGTCACTCACAGATCTCCCCGGTCCGAGAATTTAATGCTGCAATCACGTTCTTCTCTGTAGCCACAACCAATTTCTTGGATCCAGGGGAAAATTCCAAGGAGGCAAACTTGAGCTTCCCGACATACTGCTGTCTCCTGAGGAAGAGAGGACAGGGAAATGTGAGGGGCCAAAATCATCACTGCACAAAACATTATGGGAAAAGACCACTGCACCAACACATAATGTTATCACCAAACTACCTATCCTAGGACATGTGAGGAATGTCTGTTAATGAGGAGATTTGACCAAAAGCAAGATTTCTATGCAACATAGTCAGAAAGCAAGGGAACAAGAAGAGAGAATATACCCTAAGACATAATAAGCACAAGTCTTACTTTTTTTTTTTTTTTTAAAGATTTTATGTATTTATTTATTTTAGAGAGAAAGAAAAAGTGAGCAGGGGGAGGGATAGAGAGAGATGAACAAGCAGACTCCATGCTGAGTGCAGAGCTCAACACGGGGCTCCATTCCAGGACCCAGAGATCATGACCTGAGCTGAAGGCAGACGCTTAACTGACTGAGCCACCCAGGCGCCCCCACAAGTCTTACTTCTAAATGCAAGCACAGGGCGCCTGGGTGGCTCAGTGGGTTAAAGCCTCTGCCTTCGGCTCGGGTCATGGTCTCAGGGTCCTGAGATCGAGCCCCGCATTGGGCTCTCTGCTCAGCAGGGAGCCTGCTTCCTCCTCTCTCCCTGCCTCCCTCTCTGACTACTTGTAATCTCTATCAAATAAATAAATAAAATATTAAAAAAAAAAATAAATGCAAGCACATATTATCTCAAGTGCCACCGAAAAGAACACCTGGCCTAAATCCCACTGGAACAAACATTAGTCCTCTCTGTATTCATTAATAGTGGGACTATTATGTGAGAGAAGAGACACAAAGCCTAATGTCCACAAACATACAATCCAACTGCCCTTCTGTTTTCATGGACCCCTGGAGAAAAAAATTCATGCAAATTTTCCAATAAAACTGGGTTAGGCTTCTGTTTTCTACAGTCTTTTCTTTTTTTTTTAAGATTTTATTTATTTGACAGAGACATCACAAGTTGGCAGAGAGGCAGGCAGAGAGAAAGAGGGAGAAGCAGGTTCCCTGCCGAGCAGAGAGCCCAATGCGGGGCTCGATCCCAAGACCCTGAGATCATGACCTGAGCTGAAGGCAGAGGCTTAACCTACTGAGCCACCCAGGTGCCCCTCTACAGCCTTTTCAAGCCCACTGCATGTTCAGGATCCATTTGACTCATTACTCATACTTTCCTTGGAATATATCCCATCACTTTCAATGCCCTTCTCTAAGCATAAAGGAAATACAATTAGCTTTGCATGGCACACTACGAAGTACACAGGAGGTGCTTGCACATTGCTGTTAAGGAAAAAGTACTCTCATCCCAGCAAACTAAACACACATGGCATTTACACAAAATTTCTCTTGTGATGTTGTTTGGTCTGATTAAAAAAAGGGGGGGGGCGCCTGGGTGGCTCAGTGGGTTAAAGCCTCTGCCTTCAGCTCAGGTCATGGTCCCAGGGTCCTGGGATCGAGCCCCGCATCGGGCTCTCTGCTTGGCAGGGAGCCTGCTTCTCCCTCTCTCTCTGCCTGCCTCTCTACCTACTTGTGATCTTTGTCTGTCAAATAAATAAATAAAATCTTAAAAAAAAAAAAAAGGGAAAGAAACTAAGCAGAGAGTAGAGAATAGGCTTATATGACATTCAACAGTTTCTATCTGGGGGTGCCTGGGTGGCTCAGTGGGTTGGGCCGCTGCCTTCGGCTCGGGTCATGATCTCAGGGTCCTGGGATCAAGTCCCACATCGGGCTCTCTGCTCAGTGGGGAGCCTGCTTCCCTCTCTCTCTCTCTCTCTGCCTGCCTCTCTGTCTACTTGTGATCTCTCTCTGTCAAATAAAAAAAAAAAATTTTTAAAAAAAAAAAAAAAAAAAAAACAGTTTCAGGACGCCTGGGTGGCTCAGTTGGTTAAGCAGCTGCCTTCGGCTCAGGTCATGATCCCAGCGTCCTGGGATCGAGTCCCACATCGGGCTCCTTGCTCATCAGGGAGCCTGCTTCTCCCTCTGCCTCTGCCTGCCATTCTGTCTGCCTGTGCTTGCTCTCTCTCCCTCTCTCTCTCTCTCTCTGACAAATAAAAATAAAAAAAAATAAAAAAATAAAAAAAAAACAGTTTCTATCTGTATTTTCGCATACTTAATTCATGCTATATCCACTGAACATTAAGAAATGCATAAGATGGATGTTATTACTTTATTTTACAAGGAAAAATTATTACTCTCATGTTACAGGCAAATAACTAAGGTCTGGTGGAGTCAAGTAATTACGGTCAGAAATAGAAAACAAGACTAAGACCTTCTGACTCTAATTCTCATGCTCTCTTTTAAAATATTGTTATCTTTCATCCTGACTGTAAAAGTAATGTCTGTTTGGGGTGCTTGGGTGGCTCAGTCAATTAAGCAGCAGACTCCTGATTTGGGCTCAGGTCATGATCTCAGGGTTGTGAGATCAAGCCCTGTGTCACTTAGCATGGAACCTGCTTAGGATTCTCTCTCTCTCTGTCCCTCTCCCTTTGTCCCTTCCCTGCTTGAGTTCTCAAAAAAAAAAAAAAAAAGAAGGAATGGGGCGCCTGGGTGGCTCAGTGGGTTAAGTCTCTGCCTTTGGCTCGGGTCATGATCTCAGGGTCCTGAGACTGAGTCCCGCGTCAGGCTCTCTTCTTGGTGGGGAGCCTGCTTCCTCTTCTCTCTCTCTCTCTCTCTGCCTGCCTCTCTGCCTACTTGTGATCTCTGTCAAATAAATAAGTAAATTCTTTAAAAAGAGAAAAAAAGGAAGAAGAATTAAAGTAGTCCCTGCTCATTGTAGAAAATATGAAAAATACACAAAAGTATTTTTTAAATTTAAAATGCCTAAAATACCACCACCATAAATTTTGTAATGATTCAGGATATTTCCTTGTTTGTTTTTCTATTTGTAAATTATATATACCTAGTATTCTGCTAAGTTGGAGTCATACCACATAGGCATATAGGTTGTATATATGTAATATACATGTTACATTGTGAGCGTTTGCCCAATTAAAAATATGGCTTATGTTGTATTTACCACACTGTCCTCTATCACATACATATCCATCTGCCCCCACTAGACTGAGCTCCTTCTTATCTATCCACAACACCTAGAACAATTGTTGGCCTATTACAGGCAAGCAACAAATACGTAAATCAATGTATATGACACAGAAAACACTTCACAGAGGAGGAGGTACTTGAGCTAGGCTCTGAAGAATAAACTGTTCTCTGAAAAATAAAAACAATGGGTAACAGTAACTGTACTCAATGAGCCAGACATAGTGCTAACTTAAAAGAATGATCTCATTCACCCTTACAAGTGCTGTAGGGAATAATGAACCATTAATAAACCCATTTTACAGATAAAGAAACCTTGGCACAGAGTGGTTAAGTCACTTTCCCAAGTCACACAAACCCTAAGTGCCAAAATTTAGCCTCCAACGAGAGTACACCTTAATTGCAGGGTCTTAAGGAAGGGGGCGGTAGAGAGGATAAACTGAGTACGTGAATTAAATAATTGGCATCTCTATGAATGGCACCTCCCGGCAGATGTGAGACTTCCTGGACTTGTTCTAAGCCCAGGGCCGAGCTGGGCTGAAAGAGGAGAAATGATACAAGTTTAGGACCCAGGGTAAGACCCAAGCTCCTGTTCACATACCCAAGAGATGCCAATTCGAGGAAGAACGAGAGTTCACTGAGGGGCTGCGGACCCCGACACCCAGCAGATCAGAAACCTGACAGTCACAGAAACAGGCCCTGACGGGAAAGAAGGAACAGTGACCTCTGACCAGAATCCCAAGCATGCTTGAATGCCAGGGCCGGCTTCACGAACCCGCAACCTGTCACATAGAGACTGGCTTAGAAACGCCCCTGACGTTCCATTTAATGCCCTGTTGTGGTATATTAAAACTCTTTAACTTCTGAACCCGGGGTCCCACACTTTCATTTTGCAATGGGCCCCACAAGTTCTGCAGCCCGTCCTGGTGCCTGTAACCCCGTCCTCCCTGTAGCAGGCACAAGGCTGGTACTGAGAAAAAAGCCACACATCTCCCGAACAGGCCCCACACGCACGCACCAATCGAACTTGCCCACTTGGTCTTCGTAGACTGCTGCCGCAAGGACAAGCCGCGCAGCCCAAAGCCAGAGCCGAAGACCCGCCACCGACGCCGCCATGATGGGAGCCTGGGCCGGCCCACTGCCGGCCCGTCATGCACCCGGCCTCAGGCTCCGCCTGCGCAGACCATAGAGTTGGGATCTCACGAGAAGCCTTCGCCGGGGAGCTCTGGACTCGGAGGCCCCCCAGCGGGCGGGGAGTCGTCCTGGAGACGGCCGGGCGGGGAGAGGCGGGCTGCGGCGCGGATTGGAACAGGCACGCACGGGGGCAGCCCCGGAGGGCCGTCCCAGAAGCCCCCGCGCCGCCGGGGTCCTAGCAGGCAGCACCGCCTTCCGCCGCATGTGCCTGCAACGCGATGCCCAAATCCAAGCGCGACAAGAAAGGTGAGCGAAGGGGATTCGAGACCCGGTGGGCCGTTCCGCCGGCAGGCTGCCCGCTTCGGTGGGGGCTTGTGGGGTATCGAGTGAGATGCCGGGGCGTCCGCGAGAAGTCCGCGGGCTCTCTGAGAACTGCGAGAGGGCTTCGCGGCCGCGGGCGCACCGGAGGAGGTTGGAGCCTGGTCCGGTCAGGGGAGCAGAGAGTTCCCTTCCAAGGCTTACTGGCCCGGAAAACAGCTTCTGAGCATCCGCGCTGTGCCTGATCTCGTCTTGGTCCATCTTTCCCACCTCAGCTCCTCTGTCTCAGCTCTCTGCGCTCCCTCCACCGTGGCCGCCTTTCCTTTAGGACAGGCTTAGTCCCGGCTCTGATCCTTTCGCTTGCAGCGTTTCTGCCTGGCATGCTTATGATTAGATCTTCATGTGGTTGGGTCTGTCTCAGTTGCCAGTTCATAAGGCACTTCGTAAGAGACCATTCCTAAATGCCTTTACTGTGTGGTAGTGTCTCTCTCACCTAGGCTCTCGCTGGCAGTCACTGAACAGATATTTAGGGACCTGGCACCCTAGGCGATGTGGGGGGGAAATACAGCAGTTACAGCAAGGAAGGTCTAGAGCTTAACGTTTTAGTCATAGAAAAAATACCCGCCCCTAAACACCAGAAGTCGAATCAAGTCAGATCATAATGAGTCTCATGGACTAAAAGTGAGATAAAGAAGTGGTGTTATTTAGTTTAGTGCAACCAGAGAAGGTCTCTGATGAGCTGACAAATAAGCAGAAGCCTAAAGAAAGGAAGTGAGCCATCCGTGGAGTTACCCCAGACCATAGTGTTCTGAGGAGAGAGAAGATAAAGTGCAAAGGGGGCTGTACTGAGAGCACCTTTGACGTGTGCTGGATCAAGAAGCCAGTGTGTCTGGGACGCCTGGGTGGCTCAGTTGGTTGAGCAGCTGCCTTCGGCTCAGGTCATGATCCCAGCGTCCTGGGATCGAGTCCCGCATCGGGCTCCTTGCTCGTCAGGGAGCCTGCTTCTCCCTCTGCCTCTGCCTGCCATTCTGTCTGCCTGTGCTCGCTCTCTCTCCCTCTCTCTCTCTGACAAATAAATAAAGTCTTTAAAAAAAAAGAGAAAAAGAAGAAGAAGCCAGTGTGTCTGGAGCAGAGTATGCAAAGAAGGGGGAGTGGTCTGGGCTTTATTTTTTTTTTTTAATTTATTTTATTTTTTTAAAGATTGTATTTATTTATTTGACAGAGAGAGAGAGAGAGATCACAAGTAGGCAGAGAGGCAGGCAGAGAGAGAGGAAGGGAAGCAGGCTTCCTGCTGAGCAGAGAGCCCGATGTGGGGCTTGATCCCAGGACCCTGGGATCATGACCTGAGCCGAAGGCAGAGGCTTTAACCCACTGAGCCACCCAGGCGCCCCTGGTCTGGGCTTTATAAACCTTCCCAAGGAATTGGCTTTCACACCCAGGTGCAATGGGTAGATATCCGAGAGTTTGAGCAGAGAGGTAACATGGTTTAACTTTTTCTTTTCTTTTCTTTTCTTTTTCTTTTTTAAGGTTTTATTTACCTGCAGGGTGCTTCGATAGCTCAGTTATTAAGTGTCTGTCTTCAGCTCAGGTCATGATCCCAGGGTCCTGGGATTGAGCCCTGAATCAGGCTTCCTGCTTGTCCCTCGCCCACTCCCCCTGCTTGTGTAAGATATTACTTATTTGAGAGAGAGAGCACGAGCAGGGGGAGGAGTCAAGGGTGAGAGAGACAAGCGGACTCCATGCTGAGCAGGGAGCCAGACACAGGGCCCAATCCCAGGACCCTGAGATCATGACCTGAGCCAAAGTCAGACGCTTACCTGACTGACCCCCAACATGGTTTAACTTTTAGAAGATCACCCTAGGGGCACCTGGACGGCTCAGTCAGTTGAGCGTCAGACTCTTGGTTATGGCTCAGGTCATGATCTCAGGATCCTCAGATTGAGCCCCCCTTCAGGATCTGTGCTGGGGTTGGAGCCTGCTTAAGAGTCTCTCTCCCTGGGGTACCTGGGTGGCTCAGTGGGTTAAGCCTTTGGCTTGGGTCATGATCTCAGCGTCCTGGGATCGAGCCCCACATTGAGCTGTCTGCTCAGCAGGGAGCCTGCTTCCCCACCCCCCACCTGCCTCTCTGCCTACTTGTGGTCTCTTTCTTTCTCTGTCAAATAAATAAATTAAAAAGAAAAATCTTTTTTTTTTTTTTTAATTTTAAAAAATAAAGAGTCTCTCTCCCTTTTATCTGTTCCTGCCCCCACTTCTCCCACTCTAAAAAATTTTTTTTAAAATCACCTTAGTTGTCTTGTTGATAATAGACTAGGGAAGGTGGGGAGAGAAGGCAAAGTTGGAAGGAAGGAGGCCCGCAGTAATCCAAGAGAGGGTGATGCCGGCTCGGTCCACAGTTGTAGCAGTGGAATTGGTGGGAGATGGACAAGGGCATTTTGTTTCCCCTTCTGTGCTGCCCTTGCCCTGACTAGTGAGATTACTATTCCGTATATGTTCCTTGTGAGTGCCAGGCAGGATGAGTTAAGAATGGACCCGTGACTGGGGGGGCTACGTGGCTTTGCATCTGATGCTCTGTTAAGTGTTTGTGGAATGATTGGGTTCTGTAGAGGAAGCTCTGGTGAGATCTGGCAAATGGGTAAGAGGAAATTGAGTCCCAGCATTGGGTAGAGGTGCTTGCCCTCCCCAGAGGCACTGCTTTATCTGTGAATCCAAACTGCGAAACAGTTTGTGGCAGAGGATATAGACTCCCCAGATTCATTATTCCACAGCTGAGGCCACCAAAGATTTTCTCTGTGCACTGTGACGGAGAGCAGAAAGGGACCCGCCTGAGCCAGCCGCTGAAAGCACTCCCAAGAACAGGAACGAGCCCTGCCCCCATACCTCAGTAGGGATTTCAATTTAGCCTAAGAGGGGCGCAGGAACACCTGGTTTGTCTGAGTAATAGGAAATACGTCAGGGGAGCCCCAGGCTCAGGAACACTAGAGAAGGCACTCTGAGGACCCTGGGAAGACACAGCCTTGCCTTGCCTCATGCTGGCTTGGTCCAGCTGAGCTACCAAAGAGGAGGTAGAAACGAGCCTGCAGGGCCTCTGGCTTCGTCTCTCATCACCTCTTTTTTTCTTCTTTGTATTAGTTTCCTTAACCAAAACTGCCAAGAAAGGCTTAGAACTGAAACAGAACCTGATAGAAGAGGTAAGAGCTCATTCTTTTTCCTGTTCCAGACCTTGTATTTGGTTTATAAAGGTGGCTAGAGAGCTGACAGGGAAACAACTGTTTTTGAAAGAAAGAAAGAGAGAGAGAGAAAGAAAGAGAAAGAAAGAACTGCCACCATGACGTGCTGGTTCCGTCCTTTTTCCTCCAGCAGCAGCACCAATAAAAACTCGCATAGTAATGGTTTCCAGCTTTGACAGAGCTGTGCACCCCACGAAGTACTCCGTGTGCTGTCCCGCTCCATCGTTTCAGGGTGCCTGGGAGGAGTTAGCGCTCTTTCGCAGCTAGGGCACGGCCACTTAGAGAGCTTTAGTGGCCTGCACAGTGTCAAAAAGCTGTGGAGTTATACGGGGCACCTGGCTGGCTCAGTTGGTAGAGTATGGGGCTCTTGGTCTCGGGGTCCTAAGTTCAAGTCCCATGTAAAGTAGAGCTTACTTTAAAAAAATAATAGTACGGGCTATCAGATGGGAGTAAGTACGCCAGCACACTGTCTAGACCGCTGCAGGCTGGGTGAGAGGAGAGCCTCCTCCAGCACAATGATGCGTTTTCCTTGAGACCACGTCATCACGGCTGCAGCCGGCAGTGTGGGCAGAGCAGGGCGGATGAGCCCCCTCCCCGTGAGTAAAGAGTGAGGATTTATATATTTCCATCTGTCAGGAGCGTTCCAAGCATAGCTCTTCCTGGGTTGTCAGTTAATGGGGAAAGCAAAGAGATCCGTTCCACTACTGGCTGCAGATAAGTCAGAAACCTGGAAGGCCATGGGGTCTCAGCTTACCTGCACCTTGAGATCACACCTGCTTTGCCACAGGGGAGCCCCTGGAGTCTGTGATCTTGGCTTCAGTAACGGAAGTAAGGAGGAAGCAAGCAGATTAGATGCCTCCAGCTCTGAACTTCTGCAGCTATTAGTGACCTAGAGCAGATTCTTCCCCATCCGAGGTCCAGCCTGTGCTGCCCCTTGAACTCCAGAACCACATTGAATTGTCCCGCAGCTTCGGAAATGTGTGGACACGTACAAGTACCTTTTCCTCTTCTCCGTGGCCAACATGAGGAACAGCAAGCTAAAGGACATCCGGAGCGCCTGGAAGCACAGCCGGTAAGCAGGCCTTCCTGCGCAGAGACGAGCCAGCGTGCTCTCAAGCACAGGGACGGTTCCTGACCCTTGGTACCTCAGTCACACAGATACAAAGCATCACACCTTCCAGAGGCATTTTTTAACTATTAAACTGGTCTTGGCATTGAGCTCCTTGGGGACAGGACTGGGTAGTTGCTCAGGGAATGTTTGAGCAATAATCCCTCGGGAGAAGGGGCTCCCTTAACTCCTGGATTCTGGGCCCTTCAGGAACATCCCATCAGTTTTAGAGTGTCGGTGTGTACTTGAAATCCACACAGTGACCCTAGAACAGGCTGCATGAGCCACCTGTCCTTGGGCTGCGCCTGTGACGGTACGAGTAAGGAATGTGCCTCTTCCATACATCTGGATTGGGGGGTCTAGGGGGTCACGTAACGCTCACAGTGGGCCAATAGACGAAATACTGTGAATGTTGGAGGTCTGTAGGCATGGAAGATGTAGGAACCTCTGGCCAAGCCTCCTGCTGCAGAAGAGCCTGGGCCCGAGGTCAGGCTCCCAGGGACTGGAGCCGGTCTGCACCTAATGGTGGGGAGTGGGGAGCACTTCCTTCACAGACCTCTTTTCTCTGTAGGATGTTCTTTGGCAAAAACAAGGTGATGATGGTGGCCTTGGGTCGAAGCCCAGCTGACGAGTACAAAGACAACCTACATCAGGTACGTTTCTGGCCATCGGACTGGTGGAGGGATCGGGGAGAGCGTAAAGCTTGGTTTAAAGCTTAAAGCTCAGTCCTCCTTTAATCCCCAGACCCAGAGTAGTGACACCAACCAAAAATATTTGCAGGTTTTGCCAGATGTCTAATGGGACTGGGCCAACCCTCCTTTTGTTCTGTAGGTCAGCAAGAAGTTGAGGGGTGAGGTCGGTCTCCTTTTCACCAACCGCACCAAGGAGGAAGTGAATGAGTAAGTGTTTTTGAGGACTAGCAGGGAAGGAATAATCTGGGTACATTGTACGATACAGAGGTATCAAGTAAAAACGGGTTCCTGGAACACTGCTCCTGAGTCCTGGTTCTCTGCAGCACCGTGCTCCAGGAGGACTGCCAGTCAGCAGCCCACACGGGCGGGGAGGCGAGGCCAGGGGAGCCTGACTTCGTGCTCCGCAGGTGGGCCAGTCAGGAACCTCCCCTCCTGCCACTTGTGTTTTCCTGAGGTGGTTTACGAAATACACGGAAATGGACTTCGCTCGAGCCGGAAACAAAGCAACTTTCACTGTGACCCTGGACCCAGGGCCCTTGGAGCAGTTCCCCCACTCCATGGAGCCACAGCTGAGGCAGCTGGGCCTGCCCACCGCCCTCAAGAGAGGTAGGGGGATGCCCCTGGAGCCGAAGGTTCCCAGCTTAGCTGCCGGGGAGCACAAGCTCCACACCCGACAGACCCACTCTGGCCTCTGCGGCTGAGCGGCTTCTTTCTGCCAGCCTGTTTTCTCACGTCCGAGCGAGAGCGAACAGTAACTCGAAGCCAGAGCACAGCAGCTAAGGGACTTGAAGGAGGCTGTCGTGTATGTCCCCCCCCCCGCCCCCGCAACCGCAGACCCTCCTGGGCAGCTGAGCACTTGCAGCTTTAGCCTGAGTGTGCTGGGGGGGACGGGGGGCCCCAACCAGCTCCCTCCCAGCTCTGGGCAGCAGGCAGAGAGCTGTGCACGGGCCTCTCTGCAGAAGTCACCGTGTGAGGTCCCTTTCTCTATAGGTGTGGTGACCCTGCTGTCCGACCACGAGGTGTGCAAGGAGGGCGATGTGCTGACCCCAGAGCAGGCCCGCGTGCTGGTGAGTCTGCCCCCCACCCCCTCCGCCCAGCCACAGTCTGCGCTATAGCCCCGGGGACCCCCTCACGTCACCCTTGCTCCTCCTGACCATTGGTTCCCTTTATGTGTCCCTTACAGAAGCTTTTCGGGTATGAGATGGCTGAATTCAAGGTCACCATCAAATACATGTGGGATGCACAGTCCGGAAGGTTCCAGCAGATGGGAGATGACTTGCCCGAGAGTGCATCCGAATCAGCAGAAGAATCAGAGGGGGAGGACGATGGCTGACGGACACTTGGGTGGACTGTGGGACCGCCATCCCGCTGGCCAAACAGCAGGGAGGGCACGAGGGATGGACTGCTTTTTTGTAAGCAATAAAACTGTCTGCGGGTGGCTCCTGTGGACAGCAAAGAGAACATTTTCTAGGAAAAAAGGTCTTGGCTTTGAGCTTTTGTTTGGATTCCCTGGGTGCCTTTCGTTAACTTGGAGCTAGCTTCCAGCACCGACTCCCACATGATGGCTGGGGACGTGGGGACCACTACCGGAGCTGGGGCTTCTCTATTCTGGCCCTTGTGCCCCTCCTGGAAACGGGTTTGTCAAGGAATAGAGGAACCCTGGCTACCCTTCCTGCCTCTTTCTTTCTCTCCCTCCTACCCCCACCCCATCCCCCACCAAACCAGGGCCAGGGTCTAATGACAGGACACTTGCACCAAGAGTAAAGCCACTGCTGAAACCCAGAGCAGATACGAAAACTGTTCACAGCATTCTGGGAACTTTTATTCTTGGGAGTGACCCTTAACAGTAGGTTTTTGCCCAGGTTGTTCTTTGTGAAACGAACTCAGAGTGAGAGAAAATCTTCAGGGCACCCAGCTCTCCTTCTCTTACGTGTGACGGAGTGAGGGCCACTGCCAGCTTCCACGTCCAGAGGTTGGGCTGGATTCCGGAGGGAGGCCAGGAAGCCTGTGCTCCTGCCCCTCCCCGCAAGCCCTTGGGAAGGACAAGCCCCAGGCCGCAGCCAGAGCGGGTGCGCGGTTGGGTCTAGCACCTTCTCTGTCCAGGCAGGACCCCCCCGCCCCCGACGTGGGTCACAGCCCAGCCTTCTCACGTGAAGGCAGCTGGGAGCACTGCAGCAGCGGAGGAAATAAACAGCTCGTGAATGGGGACTGGAGAACAGCACAGGCCAAATAAAGCCATTTAAGGCCCAGGGTAAGAAGGTCAAAGAGTGACAGGGAGGAGGCCCTCTGCCATCTCAAGTCAGGACTGGCCCTAGCGGAAATAGTTGGGACATCCGTGGGCGATCAGGTGCCAGGCTCGGTCAAAGGCCTGCACCACGGCCGGCTCCAGGGGCCCCTCCTCGGTCGCCGCCAAGTTCTGTGCCAGCTGCTCCAGGCTGGACGTGCCCAGGATGACCGCGTCCCGTTGGGCGCCCTGCAAGGGGAGACAGCCAGCTGTGACTCCAGCCACACGCCCGCCCTCCCCACCCTGCCCCTGCCGGGACCGGGCTCAGATGTCTACTTATACTCTACATTATTCCAGAATTTACACAGCCTTCAAATAGCTTGAAAGCCCAGCCTTTCCAGACTCCCCAGCGGGCAACCGTGAGTGCAGAGCCACTCCGCTGTGCCCTTCAGCAGCTGGGTGAACCTGGGGTAGTCACTTGCCGGCCCCAAACTGCAAACATCCTTAATTTTGCAGGAATTAAAATTTAGTGTAGTATTTGCGTCAGGCCTGACCCTGAACAGCTGTGGAAAGGGGAGCCCTCAGTAGTAGATCAGGCTGGGGCCAGAGCAAAGTGTGGGGGAAGCATGGGACAGCAGAGAGGGGAACCCTGCAGGGCACAGAGCCCAACTCAGCAAGTGTGCAGCCTGGGGCGGAACAAAGGCTAGTGATTAAAAAAATGTAAGTTTTTCAGAGTCCACTTGGTGCTGGTGCCTTGTCACGTGTAGCTGCGGGGCCCTAAGCGCCTCTGGAATCACTTCCTCATCTGGGAAGTTGGAATAACCACGCTTCTTAGGGCCAGGGCAGTTCGTAACGGGGCACTTAATGAAACTTCCCCGGGAATTAGCATGGAGAGATACCAGAAGAAAAGGAGTCCTCTCAGACCATCAAGTAATCGCGTAGCCCTCTCCCTTCTTCCACGTTCTCCCTCGCCCCACCATGGGGAAAAGCAGCCCCTCCGGGACGGCCGGCTCACCTGCAGCTGGGAGTGGTGGTACAGCCACCGGAGGGCGGCCGAGGTCATGCTGGGGGCGCTGCCGCCGTACGCGGCCTGCAGGGCCTTCTCCCCCAGGGCGATGGCCTCAAAGTGCTGCTCCTTCCAGAAGCTGGGCAGGGGGCGCAGGAGGTACAGCAGTCAGTGCTATGAGGTTACTCCAGGGCAGATGTCCCACCCCGGTCCCTGAGGCCCTGAGGCCCTGAGGTGCCGGCGTCCTCTGAGAATGCAGGTGGATTTCCAGCCCCTCACCCGCATTTTCAGTCCAGTGAGGGGGATCAAGGGGATGCAGTGGGTGAGATGCTTGCATTTCTCACGCTCACCACATGTGAACAACCAAGCCCCCTAGATCAGGACCCAGGAACAGCCAAAGCATCACACCAGCGCGCCTCCTGTTACTGGACTCGCAACAAATCCTGGCTGAAGCCACCTGCCTCCATCTCTCCTACCGGCTCGGTGAGGACAGCAGATGCCCCAGGCCAGCCCCTTGCAGTGCAAAATGTAAAGGAGATAATGGACCTGATGGTGCAAGCCTTGTAAACTATGAAGAATGGTCAAGGTCAAAACCATCAGACCTCCATTCTCCAGGGTGAAGGCAGGCCCCGGTGGTAGGAAATTGAGAATACTGCTTGGGGCAATGGTTCCCAAACCTGGGCGCCCGGCCAGGAAGATCAGAAACTGGAGGTGGGGGAAGGGATGGGGGTGCTGGATTAGGACCGAAATCACAGCAGCGCACGCGAGGTGATCCAGACACCCACAGACATTCCCCTGCTTTAAATGTCCTTGGCCATTTCAAAAGACTAACATTGGAGACTTGCACAAAACTTGCTTCTTGCCCTCCTCCCAGGGCGGGGCGTGGAACAAGGCAAATAAATTACACACAGAAATTAACTGTGGAGACTCACCCTCTATAAACAGATTAGAAGCTTGCCAGGGAGTCCTGCTTCCTCCTCTCTCTGCCTGCCTCTCTGCCTACTTGTGATCTCTATCAAATGAATAAATAAAATCTTTTAAAAAAAAACAAAAACAAAAACGTAAGTTTAGGGGCGCCTGGGTGGCTCAGTGGGTTAAAGCCTCTGCCTTTGGCTCGGGTCATGATCCCAGATCCTGGGATCGAGCCCCAAGTCAGGCTCTCTGCTCAGCAGGGAGCCTGCCTCCCTTCCTCTCTCTCTGCCTGCCTTTCTGCCTACTTGTGATCTCTATCAAATAAATAAAATAAAAAAAAAACATAAGTTTACCATCAGTCTTAGCAAAAACCTATGTTCACAGGAAAACCTATACACCCCTGTTCTTTAGAAGCTTTATTTGTAATAGACAAAAACTGAAAACACCCGAAATGTCCCTCAATGGCAGGATGGATACTGTGCTATACCCATACAGTGGAATGAACAGATCAGCGGAGTCACAAGGATGAATCTCATCTGCCGAGCTGCATACTATAGGATTCTACATTCCTGCAGTGTAGACATTGCAGGACATTCCTGCAAAGAAAGTGCTAGAGAGATGGAGGAGGACAGAAGGATCACTTAGAGTTTGGGGGAGTGAGGGAGCTGTCCCACATTGTAATTGTGGTGGTGCTTACATAACTGTATGCCTTTGTCAAAACTTTCAGAATTGTATCCTCGGGCCACCTGGCTGCCTCAGTCTGGAGAGCATGTGACTGTTGATCAGGGTCCTGAGTTCGAATCTCACATTGGGGGTAGAGATTACTTAAATAAATAAATAAAACTTTAAAAAGAAGAAAGAACTGTACCCTTAAAAGGGTGAACTAGCATATAAATTATATATTAGTACAAACATCAAAAAAGATACTGTTCAAAGAAAAAATAACAATGTATTATTTATAATGCAAAGGAAGAAGTTTACTACAAAGTTAGAAGTAAAATACATGAAAACAATAGCACACTGGGCACCTGGGTGGCTTAGTAGGAGCGTCTCCCTTTGGCTCAGGTCAGGATCCCAGGGTCCTGGAATCAAGCCCTACATCGGGCTCCTTGCTCAGCTCTGCCCTCTGCTCCACCTGATTGTGCACTCACACTCTCTCTCTTTCTCTGTGACAAATAAATAAAATCTTAAAAAAAAAAAAAAAAGAAAATGATAGCACACAGGAAATGGAATGAAAGGCAGTATACTGTTTTAAGTACAAGTGAGCTGGTGTACTATGATTAGAAGGCAGATTGTGATAAGTTAAAAATGTAAATCATAAACCTCAGAACACCACTCAAACAATAAAACGAAGAGGAGTGGCTAAGAAGGCAACAGTAGAGGGGCGCCTGGGTGGCTCAGTGGGTTAAGCCGCTGCCTTCGGCTCGGGTCATGATCTCAGGGTCCTGGGATCGAGTCCCGCGTCGGGCTCTCTGCTCAGCGGGGAGCCTGCTTCCCTCTCTCTCTCTCTCTGCCTGCCTTTCCGTCTACTTGTGGTCTCTCTCTGTCAAATAAATAAATAAAATCTTTAAAAAAAAAAAAAAAAAGAAGGCAACAGTAGAGGTAAACCCAAATCATAAAAACATACTGAATAAAGCCAAAAGAAGGCCAATAAATATGAAGAAAAGGAAAAAGAACGGATGAAACAAACAGAAAACAAATAGCAAGGTAGGTTTAAGCCCAATTATATCAGTAATTACATTAAATACAAATGATACAAATGTTGCCATGAAATAAGCCAGAGATTGTCAGATTGGCTCAAAAAGCAAAACCCAACTATATAGGAAGTAATGAAAAACTGACTGAAATATACAAACAGAAATAGGTTAAAAGTAAAAGGATGGAAAAAGACATACCTTGGGGCACCTGCGTGGCTCAGTGGGATAAAGCCTCTGCCTTCAGCTCAGGTCATGATCCCAGGGTCCTTGCTCAGTGGGGAGCCTACTTCTCCCTACCCTTACTTGTGCTCTCTCTCAATCTCTCTCTTTCTGACAAATTAAACAAATAATAATCTTTTTTAAAAAATAAAATAAATAAAATAATAAAATTAAAAAAAATAAAATAAATAAGGGCAAAGAAGTCAGTTAATCAAAGGGACATAACGATCCTAAGTGTGTATGCATTTAATATTAGAACATCAAAATACATGAAACGAATTGTTATAATTAAAGAAGAAATAGATAAATATGCAATTACAGTTGGAGATTTCCATACTTCTCTCAGTAACTGTGAACAGTAATTAATCATAATTGACAGAAATTCAGTTAAGAAGGGCACCTAGGTG